GCGATCTAGGTCCTGTAACCACCTGTGTGACTGACCATTCCAGCAATCCTTGCGTTTCTATTGTGTTTATTCTTCTCGTTAGTTTTACATTCCCAGTAAATAATGATTGTGTGTGTGTGTGTGTGTGTGTGTGTGTGTGTGTGTGTGTGTGTGTGTACTCACCTAATTGTGGTTGCAGGGGTTGATTCACAGCTCTTGGCCCTACATCTTTTCTCTGATCGCTACTAGGTCCACTCTCTTCCTGCTCCATGAGCTTTATCGTACCCTCTTATAGCTACATATGGATCCTGCCTCCACTACATCACTCTCCAGATTGTTCCACTTCCTGACAACTCTGTAACTGAAGAAGTACTTCCTAACATCCCTGTGACTCATCTGAGTTATCAGTTTCCAGTTGTGACCCCTTGTTGCTGTATCCCATCTCAGAAACATTATATTCCTATCCACCTTTTCAATTCCTCTCGGTATTTTATATGTCGATATCATGTCCCCCCTATTCTTTCTGTCCTCCAGTGTCGTCAGGTTGATTTCCCTTAACCTCACCTCATAGTACATACCCCTTAGCTCCGGGAGTAGTTTTGTTGCAAGTCTTTGCACTTTCTCTAATTTTTTGACGTGTTTGACCAGATCTGGGTTCCATACTGGTGCCGCATACTCCAGTATGGACCTTACGCACACGGTGTATAGTGACTTGAATGACACCTTACTAAGGTGTGTATGTGTGTGTGTGTACTTACAAGTTTGTACTTAACTATTTATGGTTACACGGGTCGATTCACAGCTCCTGGCCCTGCCTTTTCGCTGGTCGTGTGTGTGTGGATGTGGGTAGGGGGAAGCATCTGGCCAGGCGGGCTGGACCCGCCGTCTGCTCCTGCTTATATCTCCACCGGCGATAAATTTGATTCAAAGTTTAGTAGTAAAATCCCCGGACACGCGTCCTCAGCAATTTTCTAAATACTTAGGAACCGCATGGCCGCATCTCTGCTCGTAACTCTTGACGGTCAGTACTGCTGCTGCTGCTGCTGCTACTGCTACTGCTCCTACTGATGCTAGTGCTGCTTCTCCTGCTGGACCTGGTCTTGCTCTTATTGTTATTGCTACTGCTTTTAGTGCTGTTACTGCTACTATTGTTGCTGCTCGAGGTGGTGGTGATACTACTGCTACTACTACTGTTGGTGGTGTTATTACTGTTGGTGGTAGCGTTACTACTGTTGGTGGTGTTACTACTGTTGGTGGTGGTGTTACTATTGTTGGTGGTGGTGTTACTACCGTTGGTGGTGTTATTACTGTTGGTGGTGGTGTTACTACCGTTGGTGGTGTTATTACTGTTGGTGGTGTTACTACTGTTGGTGTTACTGCTGTTGGTGGTGTTACTACAACTGGTGGAGGTGATTCTACTGCTACTGTTGTTGGTGGCGTTACTTCTGTTGATGACGATACTACTTTATTTCTCTTGGTGGTGCTGTTACTACAGCTGTTACTTTCCCCGTTACTACTGCTGCAACAGTTGTATCGTCTCTCCTTGTTGCTGCCACAACTGTTACTTTACCCCTTACTACTACTTCATCATCTGTTACTGCTCCTGTTACAATTACATCAGCTGTTACTGTTCCTATTAGTAATGCATCAGATATTGCTGATCCTGTTACTACTGTTACATCAGCTGTTATTGCTCCTGTTACTATTACATCAGCTGTTGTTAATACTGTTACATCTGTTGTTCCTGTTACTACTGTTACATGAACTGTTGTTGCTACTGTTACAATTGTTGCTGCTCTTGTTACTACTATTACATCAGCTGTTGTTAATGTTACATCTGTTGTTGCTCCTGTTACTATTGTTACGTAAACTGTTGTTGCTACTGTTAAAACTGTTGCTGCTCTTGTTACTATTGTTACATCAGCTGTTGCTACTACTGTTGCATCAACTGTTGTTGATCCTGTTACTGTTACATCAGCTGCTGCTACTACTGTTGCATCAACTGTTGTTGCTCCTGTTACTGTTACATCAGCTATTGCTGCTACTGTTACATAAGCTGTTGCTACTGTTGTTACATCAACTGTTGTTGCTCCTGTTACTGTTACATCAACTGTTGTTGATCCTGTTACTGTTACATCAGCTTTTGCTGTTACTATTACATCAGCTGTTGCTGTTACTGTTACATCAGCTGTTACTGCTGCTGTTACATCAGCTGTTGCTACTACTGTTAGATCAGCTGTTACTGTTATATCAGCTGTTGTTACTGTTACATCAGCTGTTGCTGTTACTGCCGCTTCTCTTGACGCCGAGGTTACTTCCCGTAAACGCTGCTGATGCTGGTCCTAAACTGATAATCAAGCAGAGGATGTGTTTCTTTGGTAATCCATAAACGATATATTTTGAGCATGTCCGCCAGGCTTCCACTGGGTTGCCGTGGCGCTCTAAGGCCGTCATTCCCACGTCAGGGGAGGCAAGTTTGGACCATGTTGCGTGGCAGCAGCTCATCTGGAACTCCGTGGCAAATGACGCGAAAATTCAGCCATTAAAGAGAAAGATGTTTTTACGGGGTTAATGTGTTAGGTAGAACTCGATTTTCTGGTGCCGACTTTAGATGTTAACAGGTCAAGTCGAAGCTATTGGAGGAGGACATGGAGAATGATAGCATATTTCTGCTAGTGCATTCTCTCTTTGATGGTGTCCCGTGGAGTCGAGGCTAATGGAAAATGGCAGGAGAATGAGAGGGTTTTTGCTAGCGTATTCCTCTCTCTGATGCTATCCAGTGGATTCAAAGCTATTGGAGAAGGACAGGAGAATGATAGCCTATTTGTGGTAGTGCATTCACTCTCTGATGGTGTCCAGTGAAGTCGAAGCTATTGGAGGACTAGTTGTGTAGTCATCAGAGTCTTCTAAGTGTCTCTCAACCCTCATTCCACGCCTACTTCTTCCTTAGGTAATTCCGACTAAGTACCTGCAAATAAACTATCAAATATATTGTTCTCACTTCCGTATTGGCGTAGACTCTGATTCTTAGCTATGACTTATTAAGATGCAGAGATTATGAGGCAGCCTCTCATATATGCCGATGTGTAAAGCTTGAGGATTTTTAACACTGCTTGTCACTCCCAGGAAATGAACACTCCTTGTGAGAGTCTACGGTGTTGGCTTCACCGTTTAGTGGCTGCTACCCCATAAAGGAGATTCCTTGACGCTGGTGAGGGGCTCTTGATCTAGCGAATTGGATCTATGCTTCGGTTCCCAGAATTGAGTCTAAATACTTTCCAAAACCCCCTCCCTCCCAATGTACTGTATAATCCTACAGGTTTAGCGCTCCCCCATGATTATAATAATAATTATAATAATAGTGGCTGCCAGAGTGATGGTAGTGGTACTATTAGTGGTAGTCTAGTTTGTAACTAAATCTTAGAATGAGCGTTTTTTTTTAGTACCAGGGAAGATGATTTTGGTAGTTTCATGACCCCTTAAGGTCGTGACCCCGGAGCTAAGTGTATTGGACACGTTATTGTACACACTTCTTATACACGTTGTACACAGCATTTATTGTACACAACATATATTTACACATTGTACACAAAACATTGTATACACAGCATTTACTTTACACACATTGTGTACACAACATGTATTGCACACACATATATATAGCACATGCAGCATTTATTGTGTACACAGCACTTACATTTATTGTACACATTCACGTGCAGCAGTGATTCTGTACACAGCATTTATTGTACACAGTATTTATTGTACACAGTATTTATTGTACACAACATTTATTGTACACAACATTTATTGTACACAGTATTTATTGTACACAGTATTTATTGTACACAGTATTTATTGTACACAGTATTTATGACACAGACTTATTACACACAACATTTTTTAATCACTTTCGCAATTTTTTTAAGCTTAACATTCATACATTTCAAGTAAAACCTGTAGAATATTTTTATGAATATTTTTTTTTCACTTTTATTCTACAGTAATTTTTCAGTCACAAATTTAATACTCTTCTAAATTTTGGGGTAATATTTCCATATTATTTTTTTTCTCTAAACATAACAGACTGAACACTTACAAAATTTGAGATTTATTCTACTTATTTAAACGATTTGTAAAACAAACAGTGGGTGATGTATTTTTGGAAAAAAACTACAGAATGTAAATAATTTTGAGGTGTATGTTTTACGACGTTTGAAATGAGTGTGTAAAATTGTGTTTTCTCCTTGTTTTTATTTGTTTTTGTTTGTTCGTGCTTTGATGTTTTCAAGGGGCTACGACGACTAACAATTAAAGTGTTGTTAGAGCGGCGTTGAATTGAGAAAAGCACTTAGTGTGAGTATCTTCAAGTGGCAGGTGTGCGTGTACTCACCTATATGTGGTTGTAGGGGTCGAGTCACAGCTCCCCTATGTGTGTGTGTCTGTGTGTCTGTGTGTATGTGTGTATGTGTGTATGTGTGTGTGTATACTCACCTAATTGTACTCATCTAGTTGAGGTTGCAGGGATCGAGTCTGAGCTCCTGGCCCCGCCTCTACACTGGTCGCTACTAGGTCACTCTCCCTGAACCGTGAGCTTTATCATACCTCTGCTTAAAGCTATGCATGGGTTCTGCCTCCACTACATCGCTTCCCAAACTATTCCACTTATTGACTACTCTGTGGCTGAAGAAATACTTCCTAACATCCCAGTGATTCATCTGTGTCTTCAACTTCCAACTGTGTCCCCTTGTTTCTGTGTGTGTGTGTGTGTGTGTGTGTTAGTTACCATTTTGTCCTAGGCACATGTCGATTAGACACTAGGCCTGTTGTGTGTGTGTGTGTGTGTGTGTCTGTGTCTGTCTGTGTGTCTGTGTGTCTGTGTGTGTACTCACCTAGTTGAGGTTGCAGGGGTTGAGTCCAAGCTCCTGTGTGTGTGTGTGTGTGTGTGTGTGTGTGTGTGTTTCAGAGCTTCGGTAGATAGGAACAAAAGTGTTTAGTAATTTTGTGCGGAATTTCTATAGATTTATTCAAGCTCTTAATAGATATGAGCCGACTCCAAATAGATATAAGCAGCCTCTAAATGAATTCAAACAGGCTTTAAATAGATTTAACCAGGTTATTGCTAAATTTGAGACCTGAAGTAGATTACAGCAACTATTTAATATGACTTACCGCCGAAAAGGGCTAAAAATAAGACACGTTACAGGATAAACTTTTGTTGAGACAGTGTTTTGCTCTTTTGTAGAGCTGTTTTGCTCTTGTATAGAGCTGTTTTGCTCTTGTATAGAGCTGTTTTGCTCTTGTATAGAGCTGTTTTGCTCTTGTGTAGAGCTGTTTTGCTCTTGTATAGAGCTGTTTTGCTCTTGTATAGAGCTGTTTTGCTCTTGTGTAGAGCTGTTTTGCTCTTGTGTAGAGCTGTTTTGCTCTTGTATAGAGCTGTTTTGCTCTTGTGTAGAGCTGTTTTGCTCTTGTATAGAGCTGTTTTGCTCTTGTGTAGAGCTGTTTTGCTCTTGTGTAGAGCTGTTTTGCTCTTGTATAGAGCTGTTTTGCTCTTGTGTAGAGCTGTTTTGATCTTGTGTAGAGCTGTTTTGCTCTTGTGTAGAGCTGTTTTGATCTTGTGTAGAGCTGTTTTGCTCTTGTGTAGAGCTGTTTTGCTCTTATGTAGAGCTGTTTTGCTCCTTTGTAGAGCTTTTTGCTCTTGTGTAGAGCTGTTTTGCTCTTGTATAGAGCTGTTTTGCTCTTGTGTAGAGCTGTTTTGCTCTTGTATAGAGCTGTTTTGCTCTTGTGTAGAGCTGTTTTGCTCTTGTATAGAGCTGTTTTGCTCTTGTATAGAGCTGTTTTGCTCTTGTGTAGAGCTGTTTTGCTCTTGTGTAGAGCTGTTTTGCTCTTGTATAGAGCTGTTTTGCTCTTGTGTAGAGCTGTTTTGCTCTTGTATAGAGCTGTTTTGCTCTTGTGTAGAGCTGCTTTGCTCTTGTGTAGAGCTGTTTTGCTCTTGTGTAGAGCTGTTTTGCTCTTGTATAGAGCTGTTTTGCTCTTGTGTAGAGCTGTTTTGCTCTTGTATAGAGCTGTTTTGCTCTTGTGTAAAGCTGTTTTGCTCTTGTGTAGAGCTGTTTTGCTCTTGTATAGAGCTGTTTTGCTCTTGTGTAGAGCTGTTTTGCTCTTGTATAGAGCTGTTTTGCTCTTGTGTAGAGATGTTTTGCTCTTGTATAGAGCTGTTTTGCTCTTGTGTAGAGATGTTTTGCTCTTGTGTAGAGCTGTTTTTCTCTTGTATAGAGCTGTTTTGCTCTTGTATAGAGCTGTTTTGCTCTTGTGTAGAGCTGTTTTGCTCTTGTGTAGAGCTGTTTTGCTCTTGTGTAGAGATGTTTTGCTCTTGTGTAGAGCTGTTTTGCTCTTGTGTAGAGCTGTTTTGCTCTTGTGTAGAATTTTATCTAGTCATGACCTGATAGAGCTCAGCTTCTGTATTGTCTCTTCTTTACGATAAAGTATATTTGATCTTAGTAGTGTTTTAACAGGGCAATTTTACCTCTGAAGGAATTGTGTGGCTGAGAGGTAGAGTCACGAAACATAGTCAGGTATTTGTTTTAGCCGTGTAAATTTAGCTGGACATCTATTCTGGGGAGGAGGGTAGATGGAGGGGATGGTAGATGGTGGGGAGGAGAGGTGGTTGGGGAGGGGATAGTCTTGGGAGAGACATGCTATTCATGTTGCTGTAGATTATAATAAATTTGAGCATTCCTTTGGCGTGTTGGAGTTTACTGGTCGTGAAGCTGTGTAATATAGTGACAGGTATCTTGTGGTGTTTCATGTTTAATCTGCGCTACCAGCAACAACAACTACTGTGGCAGGTTTTGGCTTCGGCTTCCTCCCTCCGTCCGTTCCCTTCATCCCTTCTTCCCTCTGCCCCTTCCCTTCATCCCTACTTTCTTCTCTCCCTCCTTTCGTCTCTCCGTCCTTCTTTCCCTCCGTGTATCCGTCCACCTGCTGTAAGACAAGTGGTGTTGCTTTCTCTGTGTTAATGTTTTGCGTAATCTCGATGTATATATGCTGAGAGTTTATTGTACTTCCTAGTTGAGAGATTAATGTATTCTTGACTGGTGGTGAACAGATAACATACAGCCTTAATGACTCTCATATAGTTGATAGGTTTTAAACGTGAGTAACCAACCCACGAACCTGTACCTAACTGCAACCTCGCTGAAGTTATTAGGTAGTCTTAAGGAGGAAACTGAATCTTTACTTCAAGTACTTGATCAGCCATGTTGTGATGACTACGTGGGCCTGTGGGGCGCTAGTAGTAACAGCCTGGTTAGACAATGTGGCTTCAGGGGTACAACTGGAATAGGTCACAGGTACCCAGAATATCCGAGCTGGAACAACATTAAAGTTATTAAATGATAAGCCAAATCAATCTTCACTATTAAATTATTCTTCACTCGCGACAATACGATACTCTGGTTTAATGAAAAGTGAAACTAAGCTGTGAAAGAGAGAGTGAGAGAGAGCAGAGTGAGAGAGAGAGAGAGAGAGAGAGAGAGAGAGAGAGAGAGAGCAGAGAGCAAATAAGGAAGCATGTGAATCAGCTGCAGTGTGACTGCTGACGAAGACATAAGAATCTTTGAGTAGCATTGGTTTGTCATCTCTGCGGGGGTTTCCTGAGCATTCATATCCATTCAGTAATATGGAGAAGAGAAGTGCGACACATACTGTAAGTGAAGGCTCACCAGCGATTGGTAGAGTTATAGTATAATGTTGTTTCTTTTATTTGTAATTCTTGATAGAAAGGCGTACTGGCGACGCATTTCTGTCACGAACACGCTTTTATTTTTGACAGCGTTTCACACCGTAGAGCTTAAACTGGACGCAGTGCGGAAGGCTGTCCCAGTAAAAGCTTGTACTCCACTTCTTGATCTCTGACGTTTTTCCCCATCGTTGGAAAGTTAGTTTTGTCTGTCATTCAACTCAGAGAGAACTCCTTAAATACTATTCACCACCACCTTTATTATTAGTCTCCTATGTGTGGAACCTTATTAGCAACCTTAATAAAGTCATGTTTGTGGTTTGATCGTGTTACTTTTATTTTATTTTTTTTAGTTTTCCTTGGATGTTCTTGTGTGTAGTTACTAGTTGTCAGAGGCCAAAGACGCTTGTCAATAGACTCTTGGCCTGTTTGTGTGTGTGTGTGTGTTGCATTTATTACCAAGAGACCTCGGTGATCTACCAGATCAAAGTGCTCTTCAATCTCAACTTCTTCCTTTAGTAGAGTCCACATAAGTAAAAACTTATCATGTTACACCTCTTCAAATACCCTCAGAAGAAAAAAATCAGTAAATGTATTGGCACAACGGGGCCTGGTGAAGCAGTATACTCAAGGTGACTTGGAACTGCATCCGCTATTATTGATCCAAATAATTGGCCACCCTCCACGTTCCCCACACGGCCCAGGTTCGAAATGCTTTATTTGAGAGCTTATCTGTTCTTTGCATTTAAAAGTAATTGAAAATAGTTAAGGGCCCTGGGATTAATTTGGGTTGAATGTGTCTGCTTGTTTAAGAATTGTTTATGGTGAGTGTAATATTGCGTAGCAAGGTGATGGTGGCGGCAGCGGCGGCGGCGGCGGCGGCGGCGGCGGCGGCAGCGGCAGCGGCGGCAGCGGCAGCAGCGGCAGCAGCGGCGGCAGCGGCGGCAGCAGCAGCAGCAGCAGCAGCAGCAGCAGCAATAGTAGTAGTAGTAGTAGTAGTAGTAGTAGCAGTAGCAGTAGTAGTAGTAGCAGTAGTAGTAGTAGTAGTAGTAGTAGTAATAGGAGAGCAGAATATGAGAATACAGGCATGCTGCAGCAGGCTTGCTGGCCCATACAAGGCAGGTCCTTTTCTAAACCAACCATACCCACCCACCCACTATTAAGTATTGTATAAGAGGATAATGTGTAGCAGAGGTACCAGCTGTAACAGTAGTATTAGTAGTAGGTAAAGTGGCAGTAATAGTAGCAGCAGAAACAGCAGTAATAATAGTATTAAGAAGAGTATCAAAGGAAGAAGGATATTTTTCCAGTTCATTGGAGTTTTTCTACTAAGCTAAAACATAGAACCCATATTTTAGTGATGTATGTAAAGGATATATCCAAGGCGATAGATTCCTGACGACGTAAGACATGATACGAATGCGACCAAAGTATTATACAGATAAGACGATGAAAGACCAGGTCCAACAAATGGCTGCGAGAGCTCAATCCCTACAAAAATCTGAAAAAAAAACAGGGACATCAAAGAGGTTATTCCTAACTTCGTGAAGGGTTAAGGACTTAGGGTTGTATTAAACAAGATGTGTAAAAACTACGAATATATAGCAGAAACATGTGCAGTGTTAGGTAACTTTATTAACTTGATAAAATTTATTATTAACTTTATTACTAAGTTATTAATCATTAAGAAAACATTGAACAAATATTTAGACCTAGGGTGTGAGGAATGCCTCTTTGTATCATAAATATTTAATATATATTGTATGTTTATATAGCTGTAGAAATTTGTATAAACATGCAATGTATATTTAATCTATATTGTATGATACAATGAGGCCTTTTTCACAAGGGGTGAATATCGCTTAGAGTATCCCAAAACTTCATAGCATCAGTGGCATACGCACTGCTGCTCAAATTTAAGAACTGCAAAAGTCAGTCCGGTTACAGAATATCCATACCGGCATGCTAAAAAAAAAAGTCTAGAGATTTAAAATCAGATTAGTTCCAAAACTGAGTGGAATGCAATAAAAGGTAGCTGCAGGAAATGAATCTAACGTCTGAGATATAACTACGGATGAAGGAGGATATAATTACATAAGCACAAGTTCTATGAGGCTGTTCAGTGCTCACATAAACTATGAACTATTGTCTGCCTGGAGAGTATTCCGGGGATCAACAACCCCGCGGACCGGTCCATGACCAGGCCCTCCGGTGGATCGGGGCCTCATAAGCTGGGCTGTTACTGCTGTCACAAGCAATACTAACATAAGGAATCGCCAGAAGACATGACAAAGGTTAAGGTGGCATGGTTTGAGAGGTTTGTGCCCGGGGGTAGAGGTTCT